GGGGCATCTGGTGGTCCTCACACTATCCATTCTCCCCTGCCTAAAGGTGTCCCTTCTTACTCCCTCCCACGTTCCCATCTGTGGTGGCAATGGTGGCATTATGCCTAAGGACAGAATTAACATGTCACTGTCTATACTTGGGCAGCATGGAGGAGGTCTGGGCGGGCAGCATCCCAGGTTCCACCCCAAGAAGCCACAGCTCTCTCCTCACTTCCTGTCACAACTCTGAGATGGTACTGGGTACCACGATGGCTCACTAGACACCATGATTACTCACTGGACCCTTCACTGGACCTTCTGGGCCTGAATTCTGCTGTCCCTGGGAGTAGCATCCTCTTCCCAAGACAGGGAGGACAATTCAAGCCCAGCTGTGGATTCAGGAGGGAGGCTGGTGACATTTGGTTCCACCGTTACAGAGAACACTCAGGCTGAACCAACCTAAGAAGGGAGAGGCAGCTGTTGTCATTTTGCCACCGATGGTCAGTGTTATGGTTTGGGTGTGGATGTTTCCCAAAGCCTCATGCAGTCAGGGAGGCGGGCTTCTGGAGTTTGTGGATGATTCGTGGTCCAGTACTAGGACTATGGGTGTGAGCAGATGTGTCCTGCATACAATATAAGGGAGAGAGTCTTCTCTCCATGTGCTTTCCATTTTGCCTTTGTTGCTTGTGCTGTTTTCCACTGATGTGAGCTGTTGCCCTCTGCCATGTCCCACCCTGCCTTGGAGGCAGCTGACTATAGACCGAAACCTCCACAAACTGTGAGCTAAATAAACCTTTCCTTCCTTCATTTTTGAGTGTCAGGTGTTTTGTCTCAGCAACAAGACATAAGTAACCAAGATATTAAGTAATTTATCACAACAAGAAGAGCGGTGCTGGGCACTTGACTTAAGAGGCCTGCAGAAAGGGGAGAAAAGACTCCCAGGTTTAGAGATTCATTCAGGGGAGGTTGAGGGGTCAGGAGAGGGTGTTTCACTCAGAAACAGCTGAAGGGCTACAGAAAACAGAGTGAGGCACGCAGCTGCCCTTCTCTGGGGAGCACCGGCCATGCAGAGCTGCTCCTGCAATGGAGTGAAACAGAACAGGCCCCCAAGAGATCAGCAGGCCTCCTTCCACCCTCCCCTGCAGCCTGCGCTGCGCACGGTGGGCACAGGCTTTCCAAGCAGTCAGGCCTCAGCTCAGGAGCCAGGCAGTGCTGGGTTGGGGCTTGCCTGGCTCCTCCTGCTCCGTGTCCCCACCAGACACGGTTCACAGCCCTCTGTGGACCCCTGTTGGGTGTCCCTCTCAGACCCACTCTGCAGCTGCGGGCCTGGAGGCACCAGCTCTAAGGTCTCCCCTCCCTGTCAGCGCTGTCACCCTTGGTGCAGACGAAGTTCAAGGGCCGATGCTGGGGAATTCTGTTTTGCTGGTTGCTCCAGGGCTAGGTTTAGAAATCCCCTGGCCAGCCCAGACTCAGCTCGCAATGATCTCACCCAACAGGGCACGCTTTGCAGAAGTCAGAATTGGACCTGGAAACCGGGGCGGCCTTGTTCTATTGAACTCGAAGTGAGTGCGCCCAGGCCCAGTGTGACAGTCTGCATCCACTCAGGTTTTACCCAGTGTCTCCCCCACCCCGGGCGGCAGGACTAGACACTCAGTGAAGCATCAATGTCCCCTGAATGGCTATTCAGCCACATCGGCAACCTCTGGGAGCCAAGGGCAAGCCAGGTCCCCTCCACTGCAGGAAACTGAGTACAGCCTGAAGCCAGGGGACTGGGACTGGCAGGGACTTAGGACAGAGGGCGGGCAGCTGCATGGGCAGGGGAGGACAAAGTGCAGGATGACAGGCAGGAGCCAGGCAACCAGAGAGACTGTGGCCAAGGGCCACCAACAGCTCTGCCTGGGGCTTTCCCTGGGAGAGGCTGGGGGCAGCGGGCACAAACAGGTCAGAAGTCACCTCTAGACGGGCACAAGGCCTTCTCCATCCGGGGAGCTGGGCCAGCAGCTTGGGGTCTCACTCCTGCTTGCTCTGCGGGGTCTGTCTGAGGGCCCCGGGGGTGGGAAGAAGAGCGTCTTTCTGGTGACTTCTCACTGTCCAAGCTGGGACATGACCCAGTGAGGGCTGCCAGTCCCTGGGTGGGCACCACAGGGGTCCCTGGAAAAAAGTCCCTCTGTTGGTTTTTAAAGACTTCAGTAAGGAGCTTGGAAAAATTCAAAATTGTCTCCACGGTTTTAAAATCATGCATCTCCAAAAGAGGGATCTCTGGCATCTCCCTAAAAGTAACCATTACCCTGGGGTTATCTTAGTTGTCAGAGTGCGGGAATCTGGCCCTGTCTCTCTCTTTCACTCTCTTTCTCTGTCTCTCTCTGTCTCTCTCTGTCTCTCTGTCTCTCTGTCTCTGTCTCTCCCTCTCTCTCTCTGTCTGTCTCTGTCTCTGTCTCTCTCTCTCTCTGTCTCTCTCTCTCTCTCTTTCTCTTCCTCCCAGCCTGAAAAACGCAGGCCGTTTGTGCGTTTGTGTTGAGGACCTGCCTTGCCATCCTTTGTCTCATTTACCACACTTAGCTCCCCGCATTATATTCCACAAAGCAAAGGAGGAAAAAATGCAGGAACACAAATTTGGCCTCTTTGGGAAGAGGATTTGTCCTTCCCCTCCAGCAAGCCTGCTCCATTGTCCCTGTAAGACCACCGCATTTTTAATAAAAAAGAAGCTGTTAGGGCCAGGCATTTAGCTCAGTGGCACAAGTGCCTGGTTGGCAAGCATGAGGTTGTGAGTCTGATCCCCGATACAAGAATGAAAGAGAGAGAGAGAGAGAGAGAAGGAAGGAAGGAAAGAAAGAAAGAAAGAAAGAAAGAAAAAAGAAAGAAAGAAAGAAAGAAAGAAGAAAGAAAGAAAAGAAAAGAAAAGAAAAGAAAAGAAAAGAAAAGAAAAGAAAAGAAAAGAAAAGAAAAGAAAAGAAAAGAAAAGAAAACTAGTTCTGCCAGGGAAGAAGCCCAAGCAGAGCTGGTTGGCGTTTACTGAGCCTGCTCCATCCATGCCTGGAGTGATTCTAACTTGTGACCATGGGTTACTGCACTTCGCAGTCACAAGGTTGCTAGGTTGTGTGGCTTGCCGAGTTCCCGGGGGGAACAGAGCAGGAACCCCAAGTCTGGTTTTCCTGAGGTGCCCTGGTCCTGGCCCCCCGCAGCAAGGACCCCATGCTGGCTGGACGTCTGGCTGGCTGGCCGGCATAGGCAGAAGGATTCTGTCCTCCTGCAGGCTCCAGATCCATGGACCAGAACCGGAAGACAGCAGAGACAGGAGAGGAAAGCACACCAAGGCCTCAGGCAGGATGCCATGAGACAGGAGCCTCTGCACGTGGAGACCAAGCCCGGCCAGCCCGGCTGTTTCCACACTGTGACTGGAGGAAGGGCATGGCTAGGGAGAAGGCCAGGGGTCCCTTGTTGCTCTCTGTCTCTGTGTCTGTGGCAAGGGCTCCCTTTCTCGTGGGGTGGGGACAGCCGAGCTGGGGCAGAGAACTCAGAAGCAGCTGTCAGCTCATGGCCGCCCTGCCCAGTTCTACTGTTAGATTTACCGAGGTGTGATTCAGGCCTAATGAGTATCAGTCCCTAGGTGAAGCAGTCAGCAGAGGTGGCTCTCTCTTGGTTATTGCTGTGTAGTGTTCTGTAGCACAAACTGCGTATCTATAAAACAACATCATGAGCGCTGAAGTCAGTTCTGTTTTCTGGCCATGATGGATAACGATTCTATGTGGATGCGCATTTCTGTTCCTAAGTACTTCGTTGTACCCCTCTCCACTGTACCTAGAGTTTCACCACTCATTGCAGAAGGCCAGGAGCAGTTTGTGTGCGTGGAAGCCCTGGCTTCTCATGCTAACCGTGCATCTCGAGGTCTTGCCTGAATTGCTTTACTTTTGATGTAATTGTGCCGTTAATCCTCTAGAGCTGCCGGGTCTGCTGATGCTTTTCCTGCAAATGGGGATCCTTTGCTTCTTCCTGCACATTCTCCTGCCCCGGTTGTCTATAACCACGGGACGGTCACAGTGTGTGCAGACGACTGGGAGGACCCCAATGTCTCCCATTCCAAGCTTCTCCTCACTCTCCCCCGGAGGCCCTGTGACCTCTCTTTCACCTACTCCTGGGGTGCTATCCTTGGGCGTAGACATCTGGTCGTCACCCTGAGGAAATGTGCCTCCATTCTCACCTCCTCAAGAGTTTAAATGAGGAAGGGTGTTGAATTTTGTCCAGATTTTTCGCATTCCTACAAATAATCACATGGATTCTTTCCTTAAACTTAATGGTATGGTGGCTTGTATTTTCAGTTTCTAGTATGTAATCACCTTTGGATTCCTAGCGCAAACCTCTTGCATTCACAGGTCTTGTATTGAAATTTTAGTCTATGTCATGCTGGTCGTCAGTTTCTTTCCTTCCTTCCTCTCCTCCTTCTTCTGCCCTCTGCCTTGGTCAGATTTAGGTGCCTTATACTTGCATCACACAAGGAACTTGGAAATTTTCCTTCATCTGGTAAGCTTTGGAATGATATGCACGCCGTGCAAAATATACAATTGTGAGTAATTTGTAACTTTACCTGTGACGAGGGCATTTCACAGTCAATCTCTGTGGATTCACAGCCACGCCCACTGCGCACTGGGTTGCTGTCCATAATGTCCTTGGTGTCACCTGTGACCCAGGGGAGCACCTGAGTCCTCAGCTTCCCTGGCCCAGAACTCCTGCTTGCTGCTCACAGCGCTGCTCTTCCCGGAAGTCACTCCAGACCTCACCGTGACACCAGGGCCCATGCGAGGCATTGCAGAAAGCTGACCTTGCAGGTCTCTGCCCCGGGCCAGGCAGCAAGCAGGTCAAGCTGGTCTCTGGGGTGCACTCAGCCTAGGATGCAACCGCCTTCTCTCAGGGTGCAAATAGAAGCAGGCTGCAGTCCTCAAGCTTGAACATGATGGGGTGCGTTTTACCCCCCAGAAGGTAAGAACAGCGACCGCATGACCATGTAGTCCAAAGATAGTCCAGGAAATTTTAGCATTTTATTTAAAAACAATAATTATTATAGCTGGAAGGCCTGGGGGTAGACACAGGAATGCATGGCTGACTGGGTGAAGCAGGGAAGAGGAGACAAGAACTTTGCCTGGGGAGCTCAGGGCTTCAGAAGTGTTCCTCTACGTGGCTACCAATCTGTCCCACTCACTGTGTCCTAGACAGAGACACAGGTCCCGAATAACTAAGTAAACTGCTGTGCAAGTTGCAAACAGCAGAGCCTACTCTCAAAACATTTCTCTTAACTTTTCACTCTTACATCTTAGCCTCCTCCAAACTTCAGCTCGGCCACAGGGACCATATGCCAGTGTTCAGCTGAAAGCCCACATTCTGAGAACCCTAAAGTCAGTGGCTTCCAGCAAAACACAACCCATTATCAAAAAGGCACTGTGCGACAGTCGGACTAACCTGTGCCAGCCCTGAGGAATCCCACAGCTTCCCTCAGTGACTCCCCGAGTCTGCTGCCTGATCCACCCAAGGGAGGCCTCCATCAGCAGCAGTGGCGCTAATGTCACAGGCACAGGCAGACACGACCTGACCTCCTTTGCTGCTGCTGTCTCCTCCGCTCTCTGTTTACTTGTGTCTGCTCTTACTAATGCACCACTGAGGAAGGCAAACACATCCCATGGTGTTATTGGAGTGTTTTACACATTGCATGATTGCTTACTTGGGGTTTAAAGAGCGGAGGAAGAGACAAATGACTTCAGTCTATGATCAGAGTGCCTATCAGAAAGGACACAGGAAGAAACATGCTTCTGAGGGACACAGGTGAGTGTGCAAGGCACTTTTAGCCTTCACCAAGGCATCTGGCATTCACATCTTCAAAACTCCTGCCAGCCTTGTGGGGGGAGGAAGTGGAGTGGGGGTATCACTGCACAGCTGATGACTTGTAAGCACTCGTGTCCCTATTCATGTCAGGTGGCCACGGGGAGCTCACACCTGTCAATCAAGGGCCAGTCTTGCCGGGCCCTGGCTGAGAAGCTGAGGCTGCTCACTCTCGCTCAGTGCTCTGGAGACGGATGGCCTCAGCCTGCAGGAGCCGCAGCACAGCAGTGCACCAAGCACCTCGGAATCACAGAGAGCCGACTGGGTCCTGAGGGCGTTCAGACTGGCTCCTCTGGCACAGAGGAAAGGAGCGGTGACTGAGTACTTCTGCCTGCAGATGGGAAGCCCCAGTGTGCACACAGCGGAAACCACTGGGCACCAGGTGTCTGCCGGTGCCCACCCTGGAGCATTACCAAGCCACAGAAGAGCTGTCCTGCCCTTTAGCACACAGGCTCCTTTGACCTCAATCGGGCTGCAAAGGAAGTAGTATCCTTTAACTCAGAGCTGGGCCTCTGAGGCTCAGGAGAGCTAAATCAGCAGCCTGTGTCCCCTCCAGGAGTGATTGGGCAGCCCACTGCAGGGCCTGGCTCACCTCCCCTTGGTGCTCCTCTTCTTCAGGTGTGAGGAGATGGACGGGAACTCAGGAGTGTGATATCAGCCTTCCAGATGACCAAGAGTGAAATGGCTCTGGAACAATTGAGAGTAGCCCGCTGGCCAGAGCAAAGGCACGCTGTGTGGACTTAAAACAACACACCAAGAGCAAGGGCTGAGGTACACATTCTTTACACAACCTAAAAGAGCGTCCTAAGTAGCGTGAGACCTGACTCAGCGTCTAAGCACTATGGACGACTGATTCTAACCTCCGCTGCCACAAGCGTTCAGCCATGCTCCTGCAGTTCCTTCGGCCTGCTCCGTGGCTCCTGCACTGAGGGCTGGAAATGTATCATGCTTATCTTTGAAATTATGACCTGTTGGAAGCGCCTGGCAGGTGGAACCTGTTTTGTCTGAAAACCAGCTGCTCCAGGAAAACCTGGGTTTGGAGCCAATCTCAGGTGTTCAATCACTGCAGCCTGAATGTTTTCTTCATTTTCTGGGAAACAGTGTCATTCACAGCTTTCAAATCACCTGTGAGTTGTGACAGTCCGGAGACAGGCTAGGCATCCACGGCAGACACTCAGGGTACCTTTCACAGCTGAAGTGTGACCTCATTTCTGGCCCTAGACAAGCACAGCTGCTGGGAAGAGGACCCTGGTGTCTATCACCTGGGAAGACCCCAGGGCGGCTCTCTCCAGGTCTCTCCAGGCAGTGTCAGGTACCAGGGGGAGCTAGGGAAGGAGTCTGGATGTACCACCAGCAGCAGAACTGCTCTCGGCTTTCTGTTCTCACTCACAAACAGAAATAAAATGATGCTTTCACAAAACAAAAGATGTGACAAAACATTCTGTCTGTTGGGAACAGTCCTACAGCCACCTGGTACCACTCTTGCACCAGTCTGTCATGCACTAGCCTGGGTCAACAAACCTCACCTACATTGGTAAAAGTTCGGACGTGTTCCCACTTGTTGGTAGTGACCATCTTAATCCATCCACTTCACTACACCAGAATGGCATGCAGTGTGCCCTTTCATCAGCAGACACTGATTTTCTCATGGTTCTGGAGGCCGGAAGTCCAAGGTCAAGGAGGTGGCAGATGAGGGCCCTGCCAGGCCCGCTCCCACAGATGTCTGCTCTGTGTCCTGGGGGAGAGGAAGGTCTCTCAGGGACCCCTTTACAAGGCCATTCATGCCAAGCACAAGGGCCCCACCTGTGATGGAGCCACCTTCCAAGGGTCACACGCTCTGATGCCATTGCCCTGAAACTAGGGTTCCGACATGGGAATTCGGGAGGAAAAATAAACATTCAGACCCCAGCAATTGCTAATAACCAGAGTCCAGAAATAGCCTACTATGTAAAATATTAGACCAGTATTTATAATAAAAATATTGTAAATCCCTGTAAAAATGTCTCAGTGGTTATCTTTGCTCTAGAAAATAGCTGTTACTCACAACTAAAAGATTCAACCAGAGGGACCACAAAGTCCAGCTCTCAAAGGACTCGTGGCATGGGAACGTGAAGTCTTCTATTTTCCTTTACTTGTATTTTCTTCCAGGTTTAGCCAATGTGGCTCTTCAAGGTTGGCAGGTAGCTGAGCTGTTCCACAGCACCACAGCGCACCTGTGAGACGCCCTGGTCAGGCCGTCCCTGCCCCCGGGACACAGTGAGGAGAGATGAGACCCTTTCTGCTCACCCTGCTTACCCCAGCACAGCACAGACCAAGGAACTTCCAAGTGTCCTCCAGGGAAAGGAGGATGCTCAGAAGCACATCTACTTCTTAATTTTCTTCTGGTGTTGGGCCGGCGTCACAAGGGCAGCTTACTGTCCCTCTCCTGGTGTGAAAAGCCACAGATCGGGGGCCCACTGACACTGACCTGTCACTCTGCTGCAGCAGTGTTAGGCATTGACTCCAGCCCACCTCCCTCCCTGCTTCCAGCCCCAGGCTTGCTACTGTGTGAATCACTTTTCTTTTTTCTTTTCTTTTCTTTTCTCTTTTTTCTTTTCTTTTCTTTTCTTTTCTTTTCTTTTTTCTTTTCTTAGTAACAGGACTCAAACTCATGACCTCAGGGTATAGCCGCTGAGCTGTATCCTCAGGGCTCTATGAATCACTTTCAGCCCTAATTAACCAGAACATTGAGCTGCATGGCAGCACCTCCTTCCCCAGGCAGTAACTTGGCCTTGAACTTGAGGTGCAGCCCTCCAGGGCCACCCCACCCCCATAAAGACTGGGACTCAGAATAAACCAGCAGGAGGCCGCAAGCAGACTGTAGCGACCTGCAGACCAGGTGCCAGCCCAGGTGTTGCTGTCAGTTGCTCTGCTCTGGGACAACAAAGACACCGAGGAGGAGCGAAGCGGACAGCATGAGCAGATGCGGGCCGGGTATGCAGGCGGAAGCTGCTCCACTACGGGTTGGAATAATTTTCTTTAAATCAGATTGAAGGGATTGTTACACAGAAACACTGGGCCATCTGCCATGGCTTGTTGTTGAAGTCTGGCATGCCTTATTATTATCACCAGTCTATTTTTATAACACAACTCATATAAGAAACATTCAGTGGAGAAACATCCAAGTGGGTCCTGGCGGGAGGACGCTGGGAAAGCTGAATCCCTGCAGAGGGACCATGGTCGGAGGCCAAGGCTCTGAGGACCCACTTCGGGCAAGGCACCTCCAAGCCCCAGGGCCAAGCATCTGTAGGTGGCAAGGTGTGAGAAGCCAGCAGTCTCAGCCCATAAGCATTGTTGACTTGTGGGTGGGAAACGCCCCTGCTGTGCCAGGCCACACTCCTAGAAAATGCCGCTGCCCTGGGACCGCACCTCACTCTCCCTCCAGCGCCCAGCCAAGAACATAGCAGGCTGTGTACAAGAAGCCACTCCTCCGCTGTCTGTGACCAGGCATTGCACTAGCTTAAACTCCAAATCCGACTGTGCCTTCCCGGGGAAGAAGGAAGGAAGGAAGGAAGGAAGGAAGGAAGGAAGGAAGGAAGGAAGGAAGGAAGGAAGGAAGGAAGGAAGGAGAAGTCCTGGTGGCAACAGAAACCCCGCAACACCGAGCCACCAACCCATGGAAGCCCTGAGCACCGCAAGACCTAGGCGTAGGGCGTCAGCCTCTGAGCCTGCTTCACAGCGTCCTGCTGGTGGTTCCTCTTGAGTTTCTCTCCGGGCTCTGTGGAAGGAGCTGCTGAGATGCAGTAGCTGCAAGCAGTCTTCTCAGGAGATGGTCTAGGACAAACCATGGGGTGCAGGAGGGAACTGGGGCGGGGAGAAGGCAGCCAATACCCAGCCCAGAAGAGAAAGTTACTGCTGTGGGCAGCTGAGGGACACCTCGGGGGAGCTCCGAAGCACAGGTTTCAGCGGGGCTGGGAGGTGGCATTGACACCGACTCTATTTGAGAGCTCTTAGGAAGGGACATTAAGTCTCCGGTATTTCTGGCTCACCTTACAGACAGGCAGCCCAATCTCGGGGCCCAGAGAGAGCTGTCAGGCAAGAAGGTGAGAGCTGGTGAATGGAAGAGGTCTTGTTCCCTGAAGTGGGAGGAGGAAGTGACGTGGCTCTGACTGAGTTTTGGTCAAGCTGCTCAGTGCTGCAAACACCTCCTTCCCCCTACAATATCTTGTGACAACCAGCTCGTCCCTGGCTTCAGCCACCCTAAGGCTCACATGGGATGTGACTCCTCCCCACCAGGGCTGTGATTCAGGTAAAACTTTCCCCAGAGTGTGGCAATGTCCTTCTTAATTAAAAACCTGTCTCCAGGGTCTTGGAGGAAGTGTCCTAGACGAGGTGACATGGATTGAACTTGTGTAGCACCAGCCGGGTCCCACCCAAAGTCACATTTGCCAGTTAAACTCCACCAGGGCTCTGACAGAGAGCCCTGTCAGAGCCTTGCATCGCTGAGCCACCCCATGATTTTGTCAGATAAGCGGGAGTTTCCTGTTTTTTCCTTCGCAAGGCCATAAGTCCCAGCTTTGTCAGCTGGACTTTGACTGTTGCTGTTCTTCTGCCCTCCAGAGCACACACACCACTTGCACGTCCATGCACCAGGTCCCATGTGGCCTTGAGCCAGAGTGTAGCATCCTGCAGGGTCGGGAGGTCCGTCTGCTTCTCACAAGTCTGTACTTTCTGGTGTGATCTTTGATACTGAGCAGGGTTATTAATTTTGGTGGCAGTAGGAAGCCGAGAAAGAGCACCAAGTTGCCACCCAGCCAGTGGCAAAGGATCACAGCTGGTCTTGCTCCTTCACTCAGGACACAGAAGCTGCCTCTGCGTCTCTTCCTCAAAGCCACCACCACATGCAGGGAGGACCAGCCCCACGGTGTCCAGCACCTCAGTCCTTGGACCCCAGCGTGGAGCCCACGGTGCGGCTAGGACAGCAGGTGCTGCACTTGGTTTCTGCAGAAGGTTGGGGGTGATAGCATCCCGGACCCAATGCCCAGGGCAGAAGGAAACTTGGGTCACTGTGTCTTCTTCGCCCACTTTTGAGAGGATAACATGGAAGCCTGTGGAGCAACAGTGATATGCTGTGGTCACAGAGTGGCTGGTTTCCAGCCACTGGGAGCTTTGCTGTGGGAGCTCCCCTGTAAAGGAGACCCCGAAATCTCTGCACTCCTAAGCATAATCATAGAGCAGTAATGGTGCTCAGTGTTACACTCATGCGGACACCCCAGACTGCTTCCAGGGCGTGTTCCAGCCTTTCTCAAGCTGGGGTGCGTGAGGAGCAGCCCAGCCGCGGCACTCTGGGCAGCGTGGGGACTGGAGAGATTCAGGGGGTCGTTTTCCTCACTTGCTCAGCTGTTCTGTATGCAAATGTCTGTTCTATGTTTGGGGAGTGTCTGTCTGTACCTACCATGGCGACAGACACAAGGATGTAAGGTGTGAGTAAAAATATATTGAAAACTTACATTTTTAAAAACGAATTACATTAGAAGAACATTAAGCCCCGGAAAGTGTTCTCTTCGCTCCAAACGCACTCATCCTGTCAGGCTCGGCCCTTTCTGAAGCAGCTCCGGAGTCCTCATTCTTCAGTGTCTTCAACTCCACTGTCCTGGCTGCCTCGATATCCTGATTGGATCTATAGTATCTCCTTTCATGGTCACCTTGGCTTCGTGGAATGGCCAGCAGGTGTGTGATGCCATGTCTGGTAAATCAGGTGGAGGGAGCACACTGTTATATTTTTAGAACCCACTTTTCTGTTGGTGACACCCAGCCACAGCCTACATTGTGTCTTTTACCACACCTCGCAGCAACACTCAGGCAGGACCTCCAGAGCCACTCCAGAGCGGGGTAAGAATGACGAGACCAGTGTGCTGGAACAAAGGGCAGAGTCTCGAAGGGGATCAGTGACAAGGTGTCTGTCACTGTGACCTGTTTTTCATGTAAACCTTCACAGTGCATTTGACCATGCCTGGTAGGTGGCTGATGATCCCTGAAGGCACATGGAGGTGCTCCCGATCTTTGAAAGTTCCATGGCCTAACGGTCCACCCCGTCTCCAACATCAGTGAGAAAACACAGTGGACTGCGATGAGGTATGGGATGCCAGTCTCCCCCTGAGGGCAGCACAGACATCTGTGAGAACCTGGCGGTCCAGCAGGGTGAAGAAGGAGTCCTGGGAGGAAAGCGGCCACTAGGCTAGGACACCGTGCCTGCAGGGAGGACAAGGCAGATGTCCACTCCACAGCCACTGGAATGGGGCGGGGAGCAAGCTGGACCTTTGGGAAGCTGGTGCTCCAGAGTTGGGGCTCCCAGCAAGACAGAGTTGAGGAGACCCCTGCCTGTCCTGTGTCTCTCCCAGGGTGGAATCAGACTGGGTGCCCTATGGGTCAGAAATACAGCATCACACCCTAGGCAGAAGATTAAGAGACCCAGGGCTCCAGGACACGGAGCACAGTCCTCGCAGGCTCGGGGCAGGGTCATACCAGCACGCATGGCAGTGGAGGGGAGACTGCATGAAGATTTATGGAAAGTGTAAAACCCACTTCAATTGTTAAATGAGAAATTCTAAAGCCTGAGAATGAGCGACAGGGGAGAAGGGAGAAACGATCAGTCTGCCAAGGGTCTGAGTCAACATCCTATTAGGAGACAAATTGAGAACATCTGGCTAAAAAAGCCTGACTGCAAGCAGATGGGGTCTGAGCAGCCCTTGGTTATGATGGGAGGGCAGGAGAAATCTAGAATCGCAGCCCTGGATGGTTCTGTGCAAATCCCCCATCCCAGAAGAGAGGTTTTACTTAGTAGAGTCTGTGGGTTAATGCCAAAAGAGTTCCACATAAAATATATATAGAAGAAAAATCTAACACAGTATACAAACCAGACAAAAACATCTGGACAAAATTCTAAAAGGCACACGCAGAACCTACTACAGGCATTTCCAAACAGGAAGTCATCCAGCAAAGGGCAGAATTCTCCTTCCTCTCGGAGCAGCGGGCACCTTCTGTTCTCGCACCAGTGTTCCCGTATCTTTGCATATAGTCCCATTGTGTGGTGGTTACTCCGTTTGGAAACACAGTCAAAGGACTCAGTGGACTGCACATCTTTCAATCATACAGCAGTGGTCCCCTCCAGCCAGGTGTCCTGCAGGCCACCCCTCTCAAGTGCCCTGGCCACTGCCAAGAGCACTAAACCAGCACAAGGCACAGCACTACCCCAGGGCCGGAGAGACTGGGCAGTAAGGCATGGCCACTTCCTTTGCTTAGTGAGATATTTAAGTGGCAGAATGAGAGGAAGTGGGCCGGGGAGTAGGGTGTGACCCTCTCAAGGGGGACGCCGTGCTTGCTTCAGAAGGAGGCAGCAAAGACTCAGGTCCTCAAGAATCTGCACAGAGATGTGGAGTGAAGACACAGGAAGAGGAAACCAGCGGCCCTGATCACCAGGGTCACTGCTCACCCTCCCGACCCGGCCCCTGCCATGCCTTCTCAGGAGCCCAGTGGGCCTGAGGCTGTGGA